AGCGACACGACATTCATCCTGGAAGAATCGGCTTCAAGAAACACAGTTGTGTCATGTCGGAAACTGACTGGACTACAAGTGAGAGGATTCTACTCAGACAAGAAAATTCCTCTGCCAGTGACCTACTCGAGAGAATTCATCCCTGCAAACAGAGAGCATATTCCCACACCAGAGACTGCAAAGGTATGGCCTCATCTGGAACACATCGCAGACGAGATTGCTCCTCAACAAAGCTGTGACGTGGGCCTGTTAACCGGCTACAACTGTCCTCAAGCTGTTAATCAACAAAGCTGTGACGTGGGCCTGTTAATCGGCTACAACTGTCCTCAAGCTCTTGTCCCAAGGCAAGTGGTGCCTGGTAAAGAAAATCAGCCCTTTGCTCAGAGAACAGACCTGGGCTGGAGCGTAGTCGGCTATGGCAACCCATGTCTCGACTATGGAGATGAAATTGGAGTAAGTCACCAGGTCATCGGGAGGCAAGTGATGCCTGGTCTTCAGTCCTCTTCAAACCTCACAAGCGAAGTTCACTATGTCTGTAGAACTCAAGTCAAAGAGGTAGTCTCACCTGCAGACGTCATCAAGCTGCTGGAATCTGACTTTGTCGAAAGGTCTTTGGAGGACAGCCACATCTCTCAAGAGGATCTCCGATTCCTGTCAAAGATGGAAAGAGGCATCAGGCTCATGGACAATGGTCATTATGAGATGCCGCTGCCATTCAAGAATGAAATACCCAACTTACCAGATAACATGGTGTGCGTAATCCACCGTCTCAGATGCCTAGAACGGAAGCTGAAAAGAAACAAACAGTACTACAAAGACTACAAGCCCTTCATGGATGAGATCATAACACGTGGAGATGCAGAAAGGGTCCCAGAAGAAGACATCAAGAAAGCTCCAGCATGGTACATCCCACACCATGGGGTGTATCATCCCCAAAAGCCTGGGAAGATACGTGTTGTGTTCGATTGTTCGGCAAGATTTCAAGAGACATCCTTAAACGACCATCTCATGACCGGTCCAGAGCTGACAAACACCTTGGTGGGAGTTCTGTGTCGTTTCCGGAAAGGTCCACTGGCAATCATGTGTGACATAGAACGCATGTTCCACCAGTTCCACGTTAAAGCAGAAGACCAAGATTACCTAAGATTCCTGTGGTGGGAGAATGGAAATCTTGAAGCCAAACCATCCATCTTTCGGATGAAGGTCCACTTGTTTGGTGCTGCTTCATCACCTGGCTGCCCTAACTATGGACTCAAGCACCTCGCAGCCGAAGGATAAGGACACTTCAGTGAAGCAACCATCAAGTTCATTCAGAAGAACTTCTACGTTGATGACGGCTTGTCAAGCTTAGCGTCTGAAAGCGTTAAGTTAGTGAAGGAGGCAAGAGAGCTCTGCAACAGAAGCCAAGACGTTAAAGATTTAGCCCCTCTTAGTAGAAAGCAGCATACGAGGTATGTTCTTTTGTATCCGGTTTTCCATATGTTTCGTGTGAATGCTTGTGTTGACTAGTGTGTAACAATAACGTCACAATTTGTATTCAAGACATACATACATGCATTGTATATTATCCTTTTATTTTTCTCTCTTCCAACACAGTTCTCACAGGTTGAGGGTTGACATATGTTGGAGAAATAAACCCTGTATTTTAAACAAGACCTCGTGTTTCGTGTTGACTACTGAGGGAGCTACACCAACCGTTGCACTCTACTGACAGTAGACCTTCTTTTTTATTTATACTATGCCTTTCAAGCATGTTTTGATATTTCAAAAGGTCCAACAAATAATTTTGCTTTATATGAACACTTACTAAGGAAAAATAGTGAGGAGACTGGGTTTTAATTCTGATTATTTTATTTAATTAAGACACAAGATTCCTATTATTGAAATAAAGAAACAATTAGCCACTTAAGGCTAAAAGTTGTGTAAAGTGTGGTTTTTGATACTGTCATTTGTATACAGACACAGACAACGGGCATACTGTATAACCTTATGCAAGCTCAGCAGCCTGTGCCAAGCACTTTGGCAAGACCACAGGAAAACAATCAAAGCTACAAGGCTTTAAAAATCATTTTCTTGACATTAGAATTGGTGATAGGCAAAGAGTAATCACCATGTGGGTGAAGTGCTTCCAAAACAGTTGTTGAATAGAAACAGTTTTCTTCCTTTGTCCTCAGTCAATATTTTTCCCCTTCAAAACAAATGATGCCCTCAATCCACACACATATCTGGTTTGTACAGTCACAACAACAAAATGGTTTATTGCCATTGTGTGTAAACAGACAGCAGGTCAGCCTGACATATTGACCTGATCTACAAACACATCTCCCAGGCCAGCAATGTGCTCTTAAACTGCCAATGCTGGTTTTAATAGCAGTCGATGGCTTTATCAACAGGCTGTGCTAATTTGGCTTCAGATTTAGGGGCCGTTCACACAGAACGCCTTTTTCCATTCCACTGCACTACTTTTCCTTTTTTTTTTTTTTATGTAAGCGTGCGCTAGACGGACGTCTTTAACCGTTGCGCTCCTGTCTTTTGCAGCTTCTCGTGCATGACACAGCATTTTAAAAACGTGACCCTCAAGTTAAAATGAGTTCAGTTTTTAAAAAAACGTGTCTCTATATATTGCGCTGTTTTTTGTTCTACTGGTCTGCATTCTGTGTGAACCGGCCCTTAGTCATGTATGGAATGGAGATGAAATGATGCACTATTCAAGCATTTAAAAACAAAACAGCATTATTGCAAACCCTTCACTTACCAAAAATGAGTTTAATCATTTTATAAACTACTTGGTATATTGATATAAGGTGCAGCATAAAAGGTTGCATTGTTACTTTTAAAGCCTTTTGTATTGATCATGTAATATTATGTGGGCTGTCAATGGTTGGTCTTATGAGATGGATAAATTAATTTGATTCAATTGATTGCAACCGCACAATACAATATTGTTTGACCTTGGTTCATATAAAAATTCTGCTTTAAGACAAGAAAACCCTTTTCTGACAAACCATGCTTGCCTGTCACTTGTTCCTGGACAAAAAGTTGATTATTATTCACAACCGGTGAAAATCATAAACACGTACTTATGTTGTCACGGTAAAGTGAACAGATAGATGCTCTTTTTCTTTTTGTGGACAAAACATTTGGGCATAGACTGATTTAAAATATTTGAGGCTTGGTATTCTATGACTGAAATGTATCCTGCTTGTATAAAGCCGAGCTTTTAGGTGAATCTCATGAAATCAGTCAATGTCATATTAGTCCATAAAATCAAGAGAAAAATTGCTTAAATAAAAGGAAGATTTTAAGTCCATTATGATATTTTGCAGTGTGACATTTTTTGAGAATTAAGCTAATTTATCTTCAAATTTTCATTACCATAAAAGTATTAATAAATTGTTTAGTTAGTGCATTTGTTTTAATTATTTTAAATTATTTTAATGAAAATGATGAATTTAATAAAATGATGATCATGAAAATGTTTTTTTGTGTGTCATTTGTCACAATGCCAAAAGAAGCTAATGGTTCTAAAGTAGTAATATATTTATATTTTAGCTATAATTTTGTGTGTGTGTGTTGTGTGAGATTCACCTTTTTATTTTAGACTAATTATCAGCAGCATGTCCTAGTGGCATGTTAAAATTGTAAAACATTTAGAAGATTTTGAGAATAAAGTTACAAGATGTTATGAGACCAATGTTGTAATGTTACATTAATAAAGTATAACAATTCAAAAATTAAGTGTAATGGTAACAGGTGTTAAGTAACGATTTACCAACTAAGAAATTCTTGCTCTTTTGGCACAATTTAATCTCGTAACTATACAATTTATTCTTGAAACTTATTGTCTTTATTCATGTAAAAGGCTTATTATGATATCCCCACAATTTTATTACCAAAATCAGTTTTTTTTTTTTTTTTCAACATGCCACTTAAACGGTATTATAATAGACAGAAAAAAATTATTCTACATCTCAGACCTGTGATCTGGGCAGTAGTTTGTCTTACTAAACGATAATATATGTCATATAGTGACTGTGAGGGTGCGAGTCTGATCCATGAGGGTTGTACGATCTGTCTAATGGTTTTAACACACAGTATGTCCGACCCAATCAAATTCTCTCCGCCACGTCATCCTGACAGCACCTCCCAACATGGAATGTCATGGAATGCAAAGAATGATGAGACGGATCTGAATGTGAATTTTTACCTGAGTTTAAACAGCAAGTGATGCACCTGAAGCGAGGCCGCAGGCGAACACTGTGCAACAAAGTGTGAAAACAAGAACCTTATTCTGTGTTTTTCTCTTTCTGCAATATCATCAGAAGGTAGGAAACCTGGATAGTCGTCAACCCGTGGAGTACAGCTCATTTCCCATTATGTACAGAACACAGCGATACACGGTTTTAAATTCAAACAAGCTTTTTTCTTTATATATAGATTTTCTCATATATAGATATATTGATAGAGAGAGAGCTTATTCATACTGTGAATGTTGAAAGAGAACACGACACATAATTTAATGTTAAACATACGATCAGTTTCAAATGCATGCCCCTGACACTATTAAGACCTTGCTGAAAGCTTCAGTCGTCTTTCTCCTCATAAATCGGCGGTGAATTCGAAGGCGACACCTCGCTGTGCGCTGTCTGATTATAGTGCTCATACAAAAGCCACTTTGCTTAAATTTTAAGCACACACGAAAGCAAAGCTGCATTTGAAAACAGCTGTGCAGTTGCTCGAGATGAATGCGGAATCAAATCAGATGGACCTGTGAACGCATCCACATCCGTATATATGAAAAAAAAAAATGCAAACCGGGAATATCTGGAATGTGATTGAACTAATCATTAAGCAAATTTAATAAATTAGATTTCCGTATGAGACTCTCACTCATTTATCAAGATAACAGTGAAGCCATTAGAATTTTTGATTTGCATATTCTAAGGTCCTTTTCCCAAAACGCATCCTTCCGTCCAGCTCTTCAGACGCCGTTCCTGTCCAGACACGAAAGCATGGCATTGCCACATATGCTCAAACCCTTCGGCTGCATTTACATTTGCGATTCTCGTTCGGGCCACAGTTGCGATGCCATGCAGATAGTGAAGATTCAGCACAAAGGTGGGGTCCATCAGAGAGAGAAGAGGAAGTTTGGGGTGGGCGAAACGTGTGTGGCGGGGGCGCGACGGAGACCGGCTCTGCGCGCGTTTAGCTGACTTCAAAGTTCTGAGGCTGCGAGGCCGATTCCGAGGGCGCCTCCTGCTGCTGGGAGGGAGAGATGGCCAGCGCTTCCGGGGGGTCGTCTGTGCTCGTGCTGGTGGAGACCTGAGTGGGCATGTGATGGTGTTGGGCAAGGGGGCATGACCCGCTGGGTCCGGCCTGTGTTTCCTCTTTCTCCTCGTCCTCCTGCTGGGAGCTGGAGTGCTGGAGCAGAGATCCCGGGAGCTTGACGGGGCAGAACGCAGAGCCGGTGGAGATGAAGTTGACCTTGTTTTTGTCAGGGCAGGAGAAAAGGGGGACGGTGGCTGACTGTCTGGACCTGAGAAGGAGAGGAAACAGATTTAAGAGAATGTTCCAAAGGGAATACTAATGTATCGCCAACTAAATACTACACATGCAAGGTTTTTTTTTTTTCACGATTTCTGTCACCTGATAGGAGTTTGCGTTCCTTTGCAACTGTTGCCTTTGGCTTGCTTAGATCGGGACAGTTAAAGGAGCTGTATGTAAGAAATTTATTTCAATTAATCATAAAATGGCCCTGAAATGTCACTAGACATTAAGAAATCATGTACATTTCAAATACTTATATCACTGACAACAGTAGTCTGGCCAGGATATTGTCATTTAAAAAGTGCAGTTGCAGCCCTCAACTGATGTTGATGTTGTCATGTTGTGTTTTGGTCTGATGCTCCACCCTCCACCTATCTACCAATCACGAAGTCAGTAGTGTTGCGGCATCCGGGTTGCCAGCTCTGCTCTAGTTACCACAGCTGCAGCTCGTCACGTTCCTGCTGGATCCTGCAGCCGATCTGGCAACCTCGAGTCAGGGAGGAGGGGGAGGGGATACACCACTCTACAGTAATTTGAAAGTGATTGCAGTACTGGTTTTGGCCACAATCTTACATACAGCTCCTTTAATATTCAGTAATATTATTGTTTTGACTGCACTGACAGTCTTGGATGAGAACAAAACTGAATTGATTTGCATGATGATTTCACTGATTTCTGCAGAGCTGCTTTATAACTGATTGAACTTTGTTATTGAACTGAATAGAATCAAAAGAACTGATGCAAAGTGAAAAACAACACTACTGTCTTCTGTGGAGCTGCTTATAGCTGAATTGGACTAATTTCATAATTGATAAACTTTACACAGAACTGAATCAACACTGAACTCCCTTCAACTGAATATTGACACTATTTTCTTTTTTAGAGCAGCTTTACAGCAGAATTAAATTATTTTTCCATCATTGATCATTATTTTGATGTTTTGTGTTCAAGTCCTTCATTGCGGAGTGCTTTTTTCCCCGCATCATGGCTGATTTGTAGATTGTATATATATATATATATATATATATATAAAAACATTCTGCATTTTCGTATTTCGCATTCATTTTCTAAGGCGATAGTACTAGTGTAACTATGTCAATTTTTATGTGTGTGTGTTCACATAGCTACAAAAGTGCCACAAGAGTCACATTTTGTAACATTCCGATAAAGTAAAATCATTTTAAAAATCAAAACAATTTTCTTTGGTCAAAAGTGGCCAAGGAGCACCTGAAAGTTAATATGATTTTAATTTAATATGAATTTAATATGAATGTTCCATACAGTCAGACGGTGAAATCACGAAATGCAAAACCAAGCCGAATCGTTGTCATTTAGGTTGGCAGGCCATGTAAAGAGCTAAACAACTGGCCTGACGGTGTCAATAAAATAAAATAAAAACATTTTTGTTGAGCCCTGCATGCTATTTCTTAACAAATAGTCTGCGAAACAATATGCAACAATAAACATGCTTCACTGATGTTTTACATTAGCATGTTTAATAATTAGTAATTTAATTACAGAAATAAATAAATTCATTCATGCATTAATGTTTTGCATTTTAAATCCAATTTCCTGAAATTATATATTAAAGAAAGAGATGATGTTTGATATTCTGATTTATTCATCACTCTTAAAATGGAGGATCAAAATGAATGCATTGTATAAGACACTATGTGCTATACTCTGGTTGGATACTGAATATTTTAGCAAATGTTGTAGGTCAACAGAGAATTCCATGCATAAGGAACATTTGAATACTGTGTACATTATACATACTGCATGCTGGTATGCTATTTTAGGCTCACTACAGAAAAAACTCTACTCACGTGATTTCCTCAAACACTTTGATCTTTTCACAGCCCTCTGGAGGCTCCCGTTTGAACATGTAGCTGTTGTTGGGTTTTGGAGACGAGGTGAACTTAGGCAGAGGAGAACTGCTGCCGCTGTCTGCAGGAAGAAATTACAAATCTCAAATTACTCTGGATTATTATCAGAGCTGAGAATCTGTCCAACTCTCATGATATAATACAGCAAACTATCAAATATCATATGAACTTGATATAGCTCCTTGACCAACAATCTGGCTTGATCACTAATCTGTAGGTTTGACCTTTGTCTCTGTCGTCCAGCATCTCGTCAGTGGAGTATGGGCTGCCGTCATGTGAGCGGGGTGGGCATGCGGGTGAGGGGCAGGGCGACAGGCTAGAGCAGCTACTGGAGCGCCCAGGCACTGATGGGGTCTGAGTGTCTATACCACGACTACTGCTGCTGCGCTGCTGGGGAGGAAACGGAGCCCTCCGTCCATCAGGAACCTCCAGCGCCTGAGTGCCAGGCAAAGAGAGAGTCTTTTAACAATTGTGCTCTGTGATCACTCTACTGTACAACAGCAGAATAAAATAGAGCAGATTTGTCCCATTTGTAAACATTAGTTAATGCACCATGAACTAATGTTAGCAGATATAGCATTTGATTTTAATATATTTATCAGTAAAGGTAGAAATTAACATTAACTAAGATTAATAAAGTAGAATAGAACAGAAGTATTATTCATTGTTATTTCATCTTAACTAATGTAGTTAATTAAAAATAACAAAGGAAATCTTATTATAAAGTGTAACTGTTTTTTTTTACTCAAAAGACATTTATAATGTTACAAAAGATTTATTTCATATTATATAGTTCTTTACTTTTTACTCAAAGAATCCTGAATTTTTTTTTTTATATATATATATTAAAAAATATTAAGCAGCATAACTGTTTTCAAAATTGATAATACTATGAAATGTTTCTTGAGCATCAAATCAGCATATTAGAATGATTTCTGAAGGATCATGTGACAATGAAGACTTGATGAAACCTTCTTTTCAACCACACACAATCATTATTTCTGACTTACAATAAGTCAAATTACTGTATCACATGAGTACTGGTATAAAAGTTTACAGTTCGGTTATAAACACTGTCTATGGTAGTTATTATCAAAACACCTTTTGAAAGTAACTGGAAGCTTAAAATAAAGATTGTATAAATGACATTGTTACATCAGTAAAACAAAAACAAGTATGTCACTGAATCATTAAATTCAAGAGATTCGTTCAATAATGCTGATTCATCCAGTAATGAAACAAGTCTTTATGACTAAGTAATTGAATCATTAATTCAATTCGATTAAAAAAAAGAAAAAATCATTCAAATGAATTAAATATGTTTAAAAAGACTGCAGCAATTAACACTTTGTCATTACCTCTAGAGAATTAGACTACATGTTATTGTTTAGTTGTCTATTTAGAATCATGGGAGAATTGTGAACTCTAAAGAAACCAGATCATGATTCTCAATTTATCCAGAATCATGCAGCTTTAGTAGCTCTCAGAGAACGGTCATTTAAAATTGTAATACTATTTTAAAATATTACTTTTTTCACTGTATTTATGTAAAAATAAATGTGTAAAAATAAACTTCTTTCAAAACATTAAAAAAAACTACAGACCCAAAACTGGATTTGAATGATATTGTATGTTGATTATGATCAAGATGTGTAATTAAATACTTTAAATTGTTTTTAGACAAAAATACATTTTACAGGTACTGTATACTGTAGAACAATATACTTAAACACTATTTGATAGTACTCAAATGACATGCATTTTTATTCATGATAAACATTTGTACTGAGTATGGCTTCATGAGTGTGTGTGTACCTTTAGCTCCTCTTTCTCTCCGTTGTCTTTGATGAAGACTTTCTCCAGCTCATGGTTGATGCCTTCCATGCTGCTGGGAACCCTGGAGATGGAGGGCTTTGGCACTGTGATGTTGGATAGTGGCATCTGTGCTGACTTCGACATGGACAACTGTACAGTGAGATGGTACAAATGTGCATTTCACAAACTATTCAGAAATTGCTGCATGTATTTATTAAATACACTGATATTACAGTGTGTGTGAGCGTGTGCGGACCGGAGCTTGGCTGGCTGTGCTGATGGTGGTGGTGCTGGTACAGTAGTGGAGGGGGGAAAGACGCTCTTTACTGTCTTTACACTGCCGGCCTCCGCCCTGTTTACTGCGCTGCAGCTGGAGCCTGAGTTTAGCAATCTGAAAGTCACAGAAAAATAAAGAAATTATAAGGACAGAGGAGACAACAAAGTTATTGTATCATCTACAAGGCTGGTAAATAAAAAAATAAATAAAAGCTGGGACTCGAACTCTGGCCGCCTGAGGCGCAGCTTTGCAAAATGTGAGAGTGCTGCCCATAAGGCTATGGCTACGATAAAATCCCTTAAATTAAAGTGCTTGCTGTAACTCAGCATGGCCACAAGAGGTCAATACAAAACAGGCAGCAATCTGACAAGGCTCGCCCTTTAAATCCTTTACCAACACACACACACACACACACACACAAAAGGCAAATGTCTTTCCTGGTCTATTAAGAATTGCTACCCGTAGTAGGAAGAACAACAACAAATGAATGATATTGTAGACAATATTCAAGATCCAACTGAAAACCCATCTCTTTTGTGAAACCTTAACTGCATCCTACATATTCTATGCTTTTACCATTTCTAAATCCCTCCTTGTTCTAGCTGATACTATTCTGAACAATGTCTGAAATTTTGTAGCGATAGCACATCTTGTGTTATTGCCTCCTTAAAGTCTATTGCTTGTTAAATTACTCATTTGTTACTTTAGACAGAAGTGTCTACTAAATTAATCAAACGTAAATATTGTAAATAATGAATCTACAACAAAAATTGGAAATTGATATTTAACCCTCATGGCCCAGGTCTCAATGTGACCCGCTCCACCTTCTCAAACTGGCGTGATCACTCAATAGTTTACTTTTGAGATTTATCTGCAGTAAATTACAGCTTTTGTTGTCTATATGTCCTGCGACAACTGAACAAGTCTAGACTTGTGCGTTCCTACTGAAAATACAATTGGCTTTCTGTACATGGATGTTTGTCTTGATAATGTTACAGAATATTAAAGTCACCATGAAATCAAAATTGACAATTCTATTTATGAAATATTGCAGTACATATTATTAATTATTTATCCGCGCATATCTTTTTTAAAATTATTATTCATGTGCTCTTTTAATCTTTAAATCAAATTAACTTCCCCTCCCTCTTGCAACAACATTCTCTTCTCTAATGACGTGTTTACCGGCTTGAGGGCGGGACCACCTGTCAATCACATGAGATCACAGCCATAGCAAACCACAACAATTTAAACAATTCCCAATGGACACAAGTCCCGCCCTACATTTTTCACGTTTCACGAGGATATACGTCACAGAAAAAACTATCGTAACTTCCGTTTTGTGCTGACTTTAAACTACAGCCGATACCACACCTCAAAAAGAGGCAGCATTTCCATCCACCTCTGTTTGTTCTACATTAGAGATGCCAATCTAGAAAAGACATGAACATTTAATGCAAATGACATGTACTTCATTTAATTCAAAAAGGCAGCAAAAACGCTGTTTGAAAATTACAGTGAAAAATGGTTTCTAGAGGTGCTGGGCATTGCATCACCTGAAATTACACAGTATGTGTTCAGTTGTAACAAGGGGAAATCCTGAATGTGCTCTCTTATAAAGCCCCTGCAAAGTATGTCAATATACACAACCTAAATCCACTTAAGAGGTGTAAGGGGTTATAAGCCACTAAGTGAAAGCACTTGACATGAACCTGGATAAAAATGTGGATAATGACGACATGAACTTTCCATATGCAGGGAAGGAAAGAAGGCCTAAACAGCCTTTTCTTGGAAAATCTCCCAAATGGGAAACAGTGAGATTATTCAGGCCTTGCAGAATGAGCTCGCTGTGATGAACTCCTAAGAAGCCTCTATTACTTGTGTGTTCATGAATATGAATATGGACACAATCCTGTGGCTGGAAATACAGCAGGAATTGTGTGCAAGCAGCCAAAACGACAGATTCACATAAGAATTTAGAAAAGAAAGAAAAGACAAGGCTGAAAATACCACAAAGTGGTTACTTTGGTGTCTCAAAAATGTAAGTATTAGATGTACAAATCTCATGCTTTTTTTGTTGTTGTGATACCTATTAAATATGTTTAATGCATAACTCTTTACAATAAAGTGCATTAGTTAACTACCTTAGCTAACATGAACTAAGAATGAACAATAACTCTTCAGCATTTATTAATCTTAGTTAATATTAATTTCAACATTTACTAATACGTTGAATTTGTTAACATTAGTTGATGCACTGTGAACTAACATGAACAAACAATGAACAGCTGTATTTGTATTAACTAATGTTGTCAAAGATGAATAAATACTGTAAAAAATGTATTTCTCTTTGTTAGTTCATACATTAACTAATGTTAACTAATGAACCACATGGTAAAGTGTTACCAAGTGTTTCCCCTTGATTACAAAAAAATGCAACTCCTACATTCCTCAGAATTGTGACAACCACAAGATAGCATTATTTGGATGTTTTCTACTGCATGACAGGAAGTAAATGTTCTTATTCTATTTCTAAATGTTTATGCAAGTTGTAGTTTTGACTGCGTTAATCAAGCTCAATCATTCAACCCTGTCACCGAAGGAATTGTAAGAAAACGATCAAACAAATATCTGTCTTTAATTTATGGGAAATATAAGTTGATTAATAATTACAAACCAACATTTGGTGGTTAGCCTATTTTGTGTGACAGCTTAAATTAGGCTAAATTAGCAGCTCTATTACCCATTGTGACATATCAAAATTATTTTTGTAATGTTTATAGCTATAAAAAGTTTAGGTTGAAAGTTTTAAACCATATTTGACAGCTCATAACTTCTGGTAACAGGGTTAAAAAAAAATGGCAAAGCCCATAGAAAATGAACTGCGAATAAAGCGGCTCATTTTCTGAGGGTTAAGCCCAGTGTCATCAGTTCTTTTTCCTAGCAAAAACTAATACTAATAATAACAATTCTGAGCAGACACTAGTTTGAGGGTTTGCACAGGAAATGAATTACTTTTGCACCTGCACGTTGATCATGCAAGAGAGGACTATAAGGCCTTTGTAAATTAGACCGGTTTGTGCACATCAACGATTAGGGCTTTCCATCAACACAATGTCTAATTGATAAAAATGTGACTTCAGTGCGAAAGGACACACGACATGACTTTGCACATATTACTTTCTCTAAAACCCACACGCGCGTATTGTTCCAAAAGCTTGGAGGTGATGGGAAAGCCATCAATTGGCAGGAGTGGGATAATGGTTGTTGCAGAGAGGGGAAGTTGATTGTTAAAGGGGGAGATAGTCTTATCTCACTGTTCCCTGAATAGTCAGGGAGGGGCTGAGCGCCCATGATAAGGCTGACTTTGCTGCGGCTAGCGCTAGCAATAACACGACGCGCAGTGCCGGAAGTCTGAAGCCACACAGGAAATTATATATAGCAGCGGGTGCAGGAGGAGACGGATGGTTCGTCGTGACTTGCAGTCTTGTATAGAGCTGTGTAACGGGGGTTTTATTTCCACCACCTGGCTACTTCGCTGGCCACACAGGATGAGATCATCGCAAATGCAGAAGTGCAATGCTCATCAGTTTCAGGACAGTGAGAGCTCTGTTAATAGCCGTTAGTGTGATTGCACTTTCTTGTTCTTCAAACCCAAGGGGAAAAACTACACAGCTGCGTGTGCAAGACACACATAGTATTTCACTGTTAAAAAAAGGGAGTGTGTTTTGCACTACTGGTGTAAGTACATGTGTGTGTGTGTGTACCTCTTTAAGATGGTCAGAGCTGCCCCAGGATGCTGAGCGCTGGTGTGTGCTCTTTTTCTCTTCGGTCTCGTCACTCCAACATCCAGGAGTCTGAAACACAAAATGCACTTTTGTCTTTTGACTATGGTGAGGATTTTATATTGTTTTAATGTAAAGCTAGTTCTAATTAATACAGACTAACTTCATATTTTTTATAATATATATATATATATATATATATTCATACTCATATCTTATAAATGGATATTGATATATAATATACACAATCATTCAAAAGTTTGGTGTTGATATTTATTATTTTTTTAAAGTCTCTTATGCTCCCCAAGGCTGCATTAAAAAAAATATATTACACCATTTCTCCAGTCTTCAGTGTCACATGATTCTTCAAAATTCATTCTAATATGCTGCTTTGGCTTCTCAAGAAACATGTCTTACTATTATCAATGTTGACAAAACAGTTGTGCTGCTTTATATAAAGTGTTGTAACTCTTTTCAGGATTCTTTGAAGAACAGAAAGTTCAAAAGAACAGCATTTATTTGAAAATCTTTTGTAAATGTATAAATGTGTTTGATGTCCCTTTTGACCAATTAAATGCTGTTTTAGTTTCTTTCAAAACATAAATAAAATCTTGACTTTTGAGCGACAGCGTACAGTGTACACTTTACTTACTTTATAAATAATTTTTACCTTTGGCAGTCCCATAGAGAAGTTTTGAAAGATTTAGTTAACTTCTGGGGACAATTTCCCCCCCAAATTGTAGCCAAGTAAACACACTCACACACACACACAGATAAATCACATTCCCATGCTTCATCCTCCTGACCCACTATTTCACACCAAAATCACAAAGGCAGCATTGTTCCTGCAAACGGTTCCTCAATAAACGGTCACCTACATTCCTTTCAAAAACAACATTCTCTGTTACTATAGGAAAGTCTGCAGGCACACGTGGATATGATGTGTGCACTCAGGTATGTTATTTGTTTAGTCAGCCCACCATGCAGCACACTCACTGTAAAATGTGAAGAGCACATAAATGAGGCCCTGAAGTGTCAATCCAGTGTGTTTAGCAGCATATTATGAAAAAGTCTATCATGAGCAGATGTCCACTGATATCTTCCTATTTTTATCTCAAATGTTGACTGTACAATTGAACTTTTGTATGGCGGTCGTTGGCTCTAGACGGACGCCGTCAAGTTTTTTGGGACGATTCAACATGTAGAATCGGCGTCAGGCCGTCAGTGAGAGAGAACTCTGACTCGTTCGCTAAACTGAACAGCTAATCAGTGCACGAGAATAAGATCAAAAATGACGAAAGCAAGCACAGAAGTCATGACGGCACAGACAGAAGGCTGTTCTTACGTCATCTCACCTGAGCATTCCACTGCGCGAATATTTTCATAATAACATGAGGGGAGTGGAATAAAGAACGTGATCAGCGTGATTGGACGAATACAGCTGCTTAAATAGACAGTTATCTCCTTTACACGCAGGCACAGAACGCGTGCTAGCTGACAATCACCTGTCGTCCTTTCGGTGCGCTCAAGCACAGCTTTTTCCCCCCGATGCAAGCAACGGGAGGCGACAACACAGTCGGCTTTCATCAGAGCTAGTTCTTTGGCGTCGGTTTGGTGTGTCCCTACCTTAACGCGCATTGATCTTATTCTCGTGCACTGATTAGCTGTTCAGTTTAGCGAACGAGTCAGAGTTCTCTCTCACTGACGGCCTGACGCCGATTCTACATGTTGAATCGTCCCAAAAAACTTGACGGTGTCCGTCTAGAGCAGGGGTCACCAACACGGTGCCCGCGGGCACCAGGTCGCCCCCAGGGACCACATGAGTCGCCCGCAGGCCTGGTCTAAAAATAGCACAACTCAGTAGTGAGCTGCGTCTGAAATGTAATTGTATTCTGTTGATATTCTTTTTCAATCACACCTGTTGCATTTATATAGCATATATTTATATATTTATATTTAAAAATGACAATATCTTCTGTTCATTATACATGAGTTTAGATAAGTTTAGGTGAACTCTGACTTACTCTAGTTCAGGGGTCCAAACGTCGCTCGCGAGCTACCAGTAACGTTAGCTCGTGGCCTGATTGGAGGTTGCTCGTCAAGGAGCCGTTCACATATCGAGTCTTTTGCGTCCTCAAGTTCGTTATTTCAAATGTAGGTGCGAGGCAAGCGCGCTCATAATTAAAGCGACGCGCTATTTTTTTCCAGGTGCAGCGAGATGAAAAAAATGCAACTATTCAGTATGCCGCAAACGTACCGCAGGTCAACCAATCAGCTTCACCCTTTCCATAACAACATTGAAAGCTCAGTCAACATGAAGGATGGGGGTGCACCCAAACACTACGGGTGTTTTTCTCTTCTCCGTAAATAAATCTTGTAGCAGAGCTACAGCAAGTGTTTTTCGGTGGTGGAAATCTATTAGCTACTAAAACTTCTTTGTCATTGTGGAGAGCGCAGTGCATGGTTGCATAGCAACGACAGACGCCACGGGAAAATCAGATCGAATTTTACTCTTAATAATAAAAGATAAGCTAATGTGCATTGTAAAAGTCAGTAATTTATCTTTTTTGGCTCATTCTTTTTATAAAAATGATTTAAAGGCTGAAATATGTGAGGTTTATATTTTTATAAAACATTTTTTGTCAAAACTTTATTTGAACTTGTACATACTTGTACAGTAGGCTAGATAACATGTTGCAAGACACTCCTTTAAAATCTAGCCATAATTTTTAATGTTATTATTTTAATGTTTATGTAAACAAAAAGTGCATATTGATGCGGATTTATTTGTTATTTGCTGGTTTTCGACATACAACTTAGTGAATTGATTTCATTGTGTAGTATTAGTACTTTTTGAACAGGATTCTGTGATTACCGTGATCATTTTGGTCACTAATGAAATTAAATTATCATGCCATTTCATATCTAGTCATGATGAACTATAAAATCAACTATAATTATGTGTTTTTACAATATAATATGCAAAGTACAATTTTCTATAAAAAAAATAATCTCTGATTCTGTTCTTTTCTCTGACATTTAAGGGTGACATAGGCATACAAAAACCCTTTTAGGTATAAAATAGTTTAGATAGTTGTTAATATGCAAGTTATGAGACATTATTTCAGAGATTTAAGTATTGTATTACATGAGTAGCTCTCGGCCACTTTCATTTTTAAAAAGTAGCTCTCAAATGAAAAAAGGTTGGAGACCCCTGGTCTAGAGCCAACGACCGACGCTCAAAAATGGCCCGACGAACTTATACAAAAGTTCAATTGTACAGTCAAAATTTTAGATAAAAATAGGAAGATATCAGTTGCACTTAGCACTGAACAACTTCCTGTCTTTGTCACTGGAGAAAAAGAGAAAGAAACATGAAATTGCCATGTAGATTTTATTCCGACCAAAGTACTTTATGTGATAAACAGATTTTCCAAAAGGAACCGGAGGCAGCAATAAATGCAAGAAGAAAACACCAACCACAAAATTCAAATACACTATTTCACAATTTTGTGGTCAGCAAGATTTTTTCCATCAAAAAAAAAAAAAAAAAAAAAAAAAAAAAAAAAAATTTCCACAAACTTTTAAATGGTAGTATATACACAGAATATCAATCACAATTCATTATGCAATGGAGTCATCGCTGTCAGTTACAACTTGCTTTAAAAAAGCAAAACAAGATTAAAAATCTCAATAGCTCTGTTAAACAGCATGACTATCTTCATGATACTTTGGGTTTTTTTAAGGGCTTCCTGTGGACCAATAGATGTGGTGGAAATGTGTATGTGTACCTTGTGAAAAACAGAGGAAATATATTTTCTAGTGAAAGATGAAAATGGCTCTTTTGAGCATACATTGGCTCTATAGGACTGCCTGGAGCTGCTGCTGTGGAGAGAGGCAGATTCAGGCCCAGTAAAACCCCACGCGTTCATCAGCCAAAACAGACGTCACACTTCAAAGCCTGGCCTTTGGAAACAGATCGACACTAGAAGGCCAAAAGGAAGGCTTTGAAAGCCTCGTTTTTTCTTTCTGTTATTCAAATTATTTTAAAGGATTGACAGTACATTTTTTTACTACCCTTTCTTTTTCTGTGAAACACAAAATGGTATATTTTTCATTTAGCTATTTATTTATTATTATTGTCTTTTATTATTATTTGTGAGATACTACTTTTAAAGTACTTCTTGTTCTTTACGAAGTTTGACAGCTCCTGGGCACACATTATTTTTTACATACTTTACATTATTGCAGCACCTCTATTCCTAGTCTGTCTAAAATGTTCTGATTGTCTAGCTGACCCTGTGGGTTGTGATTGGCCAAACACCTCAAGCGTGTGTTGGAAATGTAACAAGTTGCAACCCTTACCAATATCTTGAGTTTAGCTTCCAAGGCTTCTAAAGCAATTGCAAACAAAAATATATGAGCAAAGTGGGAACTGCCCCATTTTTTCAAAGGTAGTCTTTGTACTGGCATTGTACTCTCCTAGGTTCAGGAAGCTGTCCTCCGTAAAATGCACTGTACACAAGCAAATTTTTAGGTTGTACTGATCAGGAACAGCATTATGAATAAATCTTACCCATGACTCCTAAGTTCATCCATTTTTGGAAGGCCAAACAAAGGGGTTTTGCTTTTGCATTGAAACAAATAGCGTCTCCTCGACATGGAGACAACAATGGAATTCACTGAAGCGTCTGCCTTTCTTTGGGTATGCCTTTGGATGGGCATTATGCTAATGTTTCAAATTGTGGCATAAATGTTTGCAGAAGTAATATCGGGACTTTGATCGAGGAGTTTTAGGCAGGTATGGAACAATGATCTCTGTTAGAATAAATCCCTTTTGTGGGAGACTATGAGTTTTGTAACTTTGCAGATCTTATACATGCACAAACAGATATTTAATTGTATGGAAAAGAACAGTGTAAATATGCAACAAACCTCTCCTTGTTTCATGATAGAAAGAAAGTCATAAGGGTTTGGAGTAACATGATGGTGGTGTAAATAATGACAGAGTTTTCTTTTTCTTTCTCTGGGTGCGAACTATGCCTTTAAGAAAAGGGATGCAGGCTTTTGGTTATTCCGAGAGTAGAACATCCCAAAGTCACCGCTGTTCACCTGATCTGACTGTATTACTGCAGAGGAAAGCAGCACTGAATCACTGTAACAAAGGGGACGAGGGGTTAAACCCAAGACACGGTTCAATAATGGAGTGGAAAAAAATCTGAATCCCAACAGAGCTGCCGCACTAATCTATAAAGCTTTTGTCATTTCATCAAACTTTAAAGACAAGCTAACATGAGAGTTGTTTGTAGTTCTTTGACACCGGTGAGTAATAAAGGGTGAGACTTGAGATGGCCAGTCTTGGTAACACCCAGGCTTTGGCAAGTGAACATAATTATTGCAGGTTTTTAAACTGACTGGTTATACAAAGAATATTTAAAGAACTTCTTGCATGAAATTTCACACCAAGGAAATACAGTAAGCACTAAAATAATTCAGTATCTCGGTGTCAGTAAGCAGAGCAGAGCAGAGCCGCAGAGAGTGTGTGGCCTCCGTTGCCATGCAGCAGTGAAAACAGGATGCGGGGGGTCATGTGACGCGCTGCAACTCCTCCGCTGCTCTCACACGTCCAAATGGACCACAACACCTGACCTCTGACCCTTCATTCACTCACTGCATGTGTAAAAGGGGCCATATTTGGATCTTTTGTAGCATTATACTCTTATAATGTTACTCAAGGCTTGCAAAAGAAACCGTCGTAATAGTTTACATAATCATTTTCCATCCTTTGTTACTTTTTTAGAGTCAGGAGACTGAAGGCTAAACTAGAAGTTTTTGCTTCTGTATCTTTAAGCTCCTGTTTGTAAATGACCTCTGTTATGATTGACTAACCTCTGTGAAATGAATATCAGCACTCTGTCACTCATGTTGCCTTCAAATCGCCAATTCTCATTTATAATGAATGCATTCTGGTCAATTTGTTGCTGCAAATTGTTATCAGCATGAATGTCCTTTAAAGTTACATCACAGCTGTGTTATTTTAGGATAATTTACATTACTATACTATTTTTATAATTAGCTTTTATTTGTATGTTTTCAGTTTTCATTTTAGTAATTTTACTATGTGCTTTTTGTCATTTTTATTTAAGTTTTTTAAAATATTTTTAGATTAATTTTTAATTAAGTTTTAGTAATTTACCTAACAAAAAACTATCATGTGACTTCAAAAGACTCAAAATATTGCGTATGAGACACTTGGTGAACACTATGATGTTCTTTTTGGAGCTTGGTAGTACATGAGAACTACATGAGATTGAACGTTCACCCAAAAATGAAATTTACTCAAAGCACAAATAAAGTTCCAACAGAATTACAGACTAGCGTCTGGTTTACACAGAATGTGTTTTTGCTTTGAAAAAACGCAAGACGCGGGTAGTGGAATGGATAAAAACTGCATGGTCTCAAGACACGTTTTTAGTCGAACTTCTTTTAACTTGAGTGCCACGTTTTTAGAATGCTGTGTCATGCGCGAGCTGCTGCAAAATACGCAAGACATGAGCGCAACAGTTAAAGATGTCCATCTATCGCGTGTTTACATTGAAAATCAGTCGAAAAGTAGCGCAGTAGAATGAAAAAAAAATGCTTTCTGTGTGAACGGCCCCTAAGAACATACTGGACAGATGCACAATGTAGTTTTTTTTCTTCATAAACAAGGGGTTAACAGTGGAGGCCTTTAACAAGGAGGAACGGCATTCTTGTGCCATCTCGTCTTTCTGAACGGTTATATGACACTATGCATGCTGAAGCATACAATAAGAGGCACGGCAGAGTCATTACCTTTAGACACACTGCACTCCCGGAGGTGCCAAATCTCACCTTCAGTGTAGCAGCAGATGGTGGGTGGAACTGTGGGATTGTGGTGATTGTGTTCCGCCTGATACACCTGCTGACATTTGAGGGTAAATCAGCACCTGACCATAGGACAGGTGTGCGTGAGGTACGTTGTGTTTTCTCTAAGGACATGCCGTAGTAATCGACTAGTCACAGAGGCTATTTGCTCTGTAACTAACACCTCAAATTGACTGATTAAGCTTGACCTGCAACTAACCTCAACCACGTATGCACACAGGACTGTGATGACAGTGTGAAAGACACTCAGGACAGTTGACTAAATGGTTGATCAGTCAACGCTGCTTCGTCACGAAATTTTATCATTTGCACGATTTTAAACCATTAAAGTTCAAGAGGTTACAAGTCACAGAATTCAGTTCAGTATTCTTTTAGCGCACAAACACTGAATTGTTGAAAATTATGTCAAAATGCGTGTCTTGGCAATATTCCTGTCGGTTATGTCTTAAGTGAATGTAAACAACTGATAAAGAAAATGTATGTGTCAGTATATTGGATCCATGCATTAGATCTGTGACAGCAGCCTAATATTCCTGCTGCTGTCTGTGTCATTAATGTTAATCAAAGAACAAAAGAAAAAGAGAAAAATTACTTATTGCTATTGACTGAATAACTTTAATAAAGGATTCATCTATATTTAATTTATACAGAATGATGCAGTGCTTTCTTACATTTGATTATTTCAATTTCTGTACCTGAACACTACTGATAGACCTACCTGAAAAACTTAAAGCACTGTTTATTTCATTTGTATCACTGTTCTATTGTATTTATTGGTGCTATTGCTTGTAATGTGTTTATTTGTTCTTATTTTATTCTGACTGTTTGCTTGTCTTTAATTATTAAACTTTATTAGTTAGGCTAGTAGATTTTGTTGTTGAATCGAGAATTTCAAAATATTTGTTATCATAACCTTATTTATTAGAATACAAGGTTACATGGGTAAAAAAAACAATTGAAACAATAACTGCTTTATTTTACTGCTTTATTTATTTTTACATAGCAGGTTTTGACATTGCTCTGACAAAATGCTTGTATCAAATTATTTCACTCTACCTAATTAATCTTCTAATAATGATAGAACTGTGCTAGATAATGAGAGAGAGAAAGGAGATTTTTGGGAGCGAGGGCACCGGCATGTGTGTCTGGCTATTTTCACTTCCAAGGTAACAGATTGGTGTGCGTTCCTATTCTATGGCACATGATACATCAAGACCTGTCAATCTGAGCGATCAAACCAATCCAAGCTTGCTCCAGCTGTACAAAAGTGTCCGATTGGTCTCTACACATCGTCCCTACACACTAAACCAACCCATCACACCGGAGATCCAGTTTCCATTGGTTGAACTTTCAAATGACGTTGGAAAACACAATGCGTCATGATCGCATTCATCGATTCATCCTAAAGTCTTACAGCTTTAGCCAAACAGCATGTCATGTCACTGTGATCTACGCATTGACTTATGTTGTGATTGGGCTCGTTCGAGGCCACCTGCTCTAAATAAAGATATGTGATCTACTATGGTTTACTTATGTATTGCGAAGTTACAAACAACAACACGCCGCAAAAGCATCATGAGTATACGGTTTACACGTGTGTCGGCGGCGCTTTTTCATACAAATACTTGTCATAAATCATTGAAAAGGTACCAAACTATACCAAGTCTATCTGTTATGTTCGATGATCTTACAGATCTCATTTTCATGTAAGCAGTTATTTTTACATAGCTAATGTCATTTTTACATTACTGAAACAAATATGCTTGTTTTCTGCTAGTTGAGACCTTTTCAATGACTTATGACACAAGTCTATCTGTTGTGTTTGATGATTTTACAGATCTTATTTTCATGTAAAACAGTTATTTTTTCATGTTATGAAAATAGATCACTTCTGATATGTCAGCAAATTTAAAAGCACTTGTTAAGTGATGGTCATATTCCATATATTCACTGTAAAGCCAAGCTTCTAAGCTTTAAAACAACACTTATTTTGCGTTGGTTAAGCAAGTGGTTGTTAAGTAAAGTAATAACTTAGTAGCGCCCACTGTTTCGGATTAATGAGGTTAAGGTTGACGATTAATCGATTATTTGATCGTTAATTTAAACAATGATCGATTATGGGAATTTATGTAAATTGACATCCAAAGTAGGTAGTAGATGGCAAGGCAGCCCATGTTCATTAATAAATACTCAAACTCCACTACAATCACAACTGGTGATCATTACAGCCTCTGATAAAGTATTACAGTCTCTGAGTGATTTCTGCAATTCAGCTGTGGGTCAAATACCAGGCCCCATGTGTAAGCTGTGAAAGTCTTGGTTCCCAGTCTGTGGTTAATGGTTTATTTAATGCCAATAACAGTTTCATGCCAAATGCTAAAGGTAACTACAGTTTACAACCCTGAAGTTCTTTTAAAGTTTCCACGCATTTTGACCGATGAAGAATTTAAAAATAATTGATATATAATGTGAATATTACGTTAAAAAACAGTTAGTGTTTACACTTATTGAGAATCATCAGTTGGTTTCAGCTCACAGAAATCCCAGAAAATAGTCTAAAGTAACACAGGAAACATGCAAAAACCCAGAAGAACGATGTACCTGTAAAAGCTGTCAACCTAACGCTTGCAAACACACCTGAACACACAGGCTTTGAAGCCACAGTTAGATTTGGAGCACAGTGGGTAAAAGTGCCTACCTGCGTGGACTTGTCTTTCATGCAAGAGGGGTTGTGCAGGTGGGATTCACGTGGCCACTGCCCTATCAGGTAGGGCCCGGTGATAGCACCCAAAGAGGAAGTCCGTCTGATAGAACCTGTGCTCCACACCTGTTGCGACTTTGACCTCTCAACTGCCATAAGGAACAAACAGAAAGAGAAACAGATGGGTGATGAGCAGACGGACTGGGGTTGCAGCAGCCCTAAAGTTATTTCCCTACAAACTGCTACCCGTTTACTAGGCCTGCAACTAATGATTATTTTGATAATCGATTAATCTGATGATGGAGAGGAAAAAAAACAACAACTTTAAAATATTATACATTAAAAAGTATTTAAATTAAAATAAAAAATAATAATTTTAAATTAAAGATTTGAATCCATTATTTTAAACAATATTATTCCACATCCTACCCAATGCTGTCTTCAAACTGATGTGTAATATTAAGCCTATGAAAACAAATATAGTGAATGTATTAAATGTAGGCTATGCTGTACATTATAAGCAAAAAATATACAATTTGATTGCTAAAAACAACTGATTGCTTACTATTTTAAAGCAGAAATTAAAACAACTAAATTAAAAATGATAATAAACAAAAACCACAAAATGTTAACATACGAGGCATGAAAAACACATTCACGAATCACTCGTTTGAATGGACATAGAATTTATATTACATTAATGGGCTATTCCAACAATAGTGCCATAGAATTTTGTGAACTATCCCTTTACTATTTTGGTGAACTATCCCTTTACAAAGCTGCATAATTATAAAAATATCTTATCAGTCCATTCTGCTCATATCCCATCTACCGTAGATGTAGACTGGGGCTACAGAAGCAGGTTAACTTGTTTGCACTATGCATTTAAGCAGAATATCAATCCTCAATGCATTTGATAAAAATACCTCATATACATTCCTCATCCCACAAAGATGGAGGGAAACTGGGCCAAGGGCACATGAACTTTTCTAGTCAGCGATAGTCAGAGCGTGACATCTTCCTACAGCAGAGATGACAATATTTACTTCTCTCTGTGGCACTATGAATACATCATCAGATCCATGGATCATCTTTATGGCTTTCAGAAGACTAACTGTGTACACAAGGCAGCTGTATGCAAACTGATCTTTTGTCTTTATGAAAAGCTGAGCCATGGGAAGTAAATACAATGCCCTGGTGTTGAGTTCAAGTCAAGATTATTAACATTCATCAATAAACTCAATAGTTGACTTCCCTAAAAGTGCACTAATTGACATTAACAACTAGTTGACCATCAAGACCAATCTCTGGCAACCAGAATTGATGGTCAACAGCATGGATATGCTGGTCCACCAGCTAGACTAACACTAACCAGCATAATCCCACCTGGACAAGCATGAATCTAAACCAACTGGTAAACTGTTGGTCAGCAACTTCTAGTCTGGTGAATAATTTCAAAAAAGCAATTTTGCATTTTATCACATTTATGTGGTTCAGTACAACTAAACTAATAAGCTAGTCATGTTGTTGGAGGAATGGTTGGCCAGTCTGTCTCAATCTAGCAAAGTTTGTCTGGTCAACAGAATGGCTATGCTGGTCCACCAGTTAGACTAACACTGACCAGCATAAACCAGTGTGGAGCAGCATGCATATTCGGGATGAATCTAGAACTACATTTGTGACCATCTACATCTGTGACCTGTTGACTAGCAACTTCCAGGCTAGTCCTCAATTTTGCAATTTAAGAATTTCGAATTTTATCACGTTTATGTGCAATTTTGAAGTGTGCACCCTCACCCCGCACATCAAAAGTGACTTTTGACAGAAGTCAAGTTTAAGAGAGAACTCAACACAATAAATGTGTTATTACACTGTGACCCAAGTCGACTGCTTATTTTACAGCTACTGTATCGGTTGCAGGTTGCCAAAAGCTGTTCACACCTCCCTCAATTATATTATCATCGCCCATGTGTTTGCATGGTGTGAAGACAAGCAAAGCGAGCATCAAGTGAAACCAACAGAGAGAGTAGTAGCGATAAAAACTCAAAGGAGATGAGAGATCCATTGTTAGTTGATGAGCAAATGTCAGAGCAAGTGTGCAAAAAGTAAACCACGTGTTTTCAGATATGCGGTGTAAATAATTAGATCTCTAAGGTACTAAGCAGGATCCAGAGAATGGGATTAGGACTAAAAGACAAACGTGTGTACGAGACGCTGTGGACACGGAGAGTGTACTGTTGCTATGGTGATGAACAGGGTCATTCAAAGAAAAGCTTATGGATTATACAGTCCATTATAGAAGACCATATTTAGACTTGGCCCTTATCTCACTGTGTGCTAGGAAGTGCCTAACTAGAGACAGAGTCACTGGAAAATGTAGGTTAAATCATCTCAAACTACAATATAAATGGTTTTAACTGCAATCATACAGAATTTTCTTTTAGTATCTTACTTGTCATTGTTGCAAAGTGCACTGCTATAAAGATGACATTCATTGAGAAAAATCATATGGGTTACACTTTTTAACTTCTTTCATTAGTAATACTACTAACTCATAAATATCATGATTTTAGACCAGCAAATCATATGCATATTATATTGGATTTTCATGACATGCATTTGAATGCACATTAAAGGAAATCAGGTTACCATGAAGAAATATTAACCTGAATAAACAAACAAGAGTGCACTGACAATTATGCATTTACAGTAGGACAAATGTTGATTTAAAATGCACATTTTGTTTGCTTTTAGACTCTTTGGCAATTGACAGCATGTTGACAGCTTAATTTGCATTTAACTAATGTCATGTAATAATGTTTGTTCTTAATTTAAGGTATTATAAAGTTTTATCAATCATTTTAGTATTGAATACATATGAAGGGATGAAAGCTCTCTCTATTCAGATAGATGGGAAAAGCTAAAGAGAGGGAGTGAATGACAAATATCAGGTTAAGTACGATGTTGTAAAACAAGCTTATGCTGAGTTCCAATATCAAAGTTTGGCTCTGACATCTGGACTCAGGCCAGATATACCAGTGCAGTGCATTCACAAGTTCTTTTATAGATATATAAAAACAACCTCACTGAGAACTGTGTTAACAAAGGAACAGACCTGTCACCAGTCCTAAACACTTGATTCATCAAGTTGAAATGACAAAATACTATGATGTTCAAAACATATACAGTACGACATTGATGTTTGAGCACTGAAGACTGAAAGATTCAAAACTACTACAGTGGTTAAAGGTTCTACAACAAACACAACTTTTATTGAAACAGTAAGTTGGGGTGAGACATATGAAGAGGTTTGTCATTTTGTAGCCATTTTAGTTTGTCATAGCCTGGCAAAACCTTGACTTGCTATTTGCTAAGGCTAGTAAGAGGCAGGTGGCACTTTGTTAAACAAAAAATGCATAATTTTTTTTTTATTAACTGCATTTAATTGTGTGTATCTGCTAAAATATTATTTTACCAACATTTAGGAGTTTTCTAGTGTTTAAAAAAAATGTTCAAGCTTATTTTAAAATGGATAGTTCAATGAACATTATGACATTATTTACTCAACCTTATGTCATTCCAATCGGTATGACTTTCTTTTTTGTTAGATTTTAGATTAGTCCATGACCCTCAACATCCCAAAAAGGCTCATTCACACTATATTAAGCTATGCTTCTTTACAGGTGCCATAGTTCAACATGTTGTAGTATGTGTGCTAACTGTCAGACCACAGCTCCAACCTGAAATAGTTTTTTTTAGCCAAACTGTGCAGTGCATTTAGAAATGCACATTACAAAAACCTAAAGCTTGATTGAGTCAGAAATATGGCCTGGCAGTAATTTACTAAAAACAAATGCTTCTCACACGTGTGCTTTGTGACAATAACAGCTATGCTTATTTGCACGTCAAGTTGGTATTGCTAAACATGAGGGGGTCGAGGTTGACTTGGTGCACGGTTTGACTTGCCCAAATGTTGCTCAGTGAGTGTGGAAGGCATTTGCTCATGGAGCCCTGGCATTGGAATGCTTCCTCTCAGCCTGTTTTACAGTTTCCTGAGAGCAGATGGAAAGGCAGGGCAGGTTTAAGCCAAGAACCGTTTCAGGAGAGCACACTGACACCCCCACAGCAGGGCAGGGCATACAGATTGAGAGATTTCGTCATGTCATCTTTCCCTTTAATCACTTTAGAACTAACAACCATTTTGTTTACCGATTAATATGTTAATTATTTATATTATTTATTTGATTAATCAATGAATCAGATATATCAAATGAATAAAAAAATTCAGTAATTCCATTAAAATTCATTAAAAAAATGATATATACCATTATAAATGTTCACATTACAAGAATAAAAAAAGTTAAATGTAAGTAAATGTGTTTTTTCTTTGAGTATGAGCTCCGCATATTCTCACTATATTATACTATACGAACCATAAAAGCCTGATGAATCAAATGATACTCAACAAAAAAAAAAGTGCAAACTTTTTAAAAATAAAAATAAATTTAAAAAAAAAGAATCTGAGTATTATGTCATGCTTTACAGGGTTAAAGTGATGACACAGCACAAAAATAAATAACTAATCGTGAATAAATTTAGTTTTATTATTTTATTATATTATAATATAATCAGTTTTATTGTTTTAATCTATTAGCCGTGCTGTGTAAAAGGAACGGCACTATGAATGTCGTTAGTAAATGCGTGAGAGGTGACATTCAGTAAAATACTGCGCTAGCAAACAGAGAGAGAGTGCATGGGTGGACGAAACACTGAAAGACCTTCTGTTGTCATTCACACAATCACATTTTGACAAACATCGTCGCAATACAGCCCGTTTGGCTTCGAGCTGTGAATTAGGTCATATTAGACGAGGGACAGGTGGTTTTGCTTGCTGCACGGTGGGAAATAAAACAGAGTAATTGCTTCGCTGCAGAATTGCAGCCTGCAGGTTATGATGTCTTCACATGTTTGGAATTCTTTTATGGCATTAATGTGATTTAATTGGAATTGATGATCACTGCTCCTGGCATTCGTTCTTGATTCAGTTACTGCGGGTAAAGTGGGGTGAGCAAACTTTATTTAGTGGGATATATAGCGCATTAGTGTGACAGCCAAGGTAAAGGAAGTGCAAACCAATAACATCATGAAC